AACAGCACCAAATACCGCCAGCTACCTCCCGACCTTGGTGGCTGTCCATACCGAAAGACTCTCCCACACGACCCATCCTTCGTCGATTCGGCAGCTTGCACGCAGCAAACTCTTCGCCAGCGAATCGCAACAAAATGTCGACGCTTTTCGGAGGCGCGTCGAGTGCTGCGGCAACGAGCACAACCACGGGCGACCTGGGCAAGGACGTTCCGCTGTCGACACCGCCCGAGGATACCATCTCCGACCTCTCCTTCTCCCCATCCACTACGCAAGCAAACGACTTCCTGGCCGTGTCCAGCTGGGATAAGAAGATTCGCATCTACGAAATCACACAGAGCGGCCAGAGCGAGGGCAGGCACGCCTACGGTCACGATGGCCCCGTGTTCAGCTGTAACTTCCATAAGGTGCGTTTGCGACGGCTTCCCTTGGCTCGCTTGGAGGAGAATTCGGCTGACAAGACCCCTCCAGGACGGAACCAAGATCGTCTCGGCCGGCGCCGACAAGGCCGTCAAGGTCTGCGACCTGAACACGCAGCAGGATGCCAAGGTCGGCGAGCACGAGCAGCCGGTGCGCTGCGTGCGCTTCTTCGAGACGGGCGGCAACACCATGGTCGTGTCTGGCTCTTGGGATAAGACGGTCAAGTATTGGGACCTGCGGCAACAGCAGCCTGCTGCGGTGCTCACCTGCCAGGAGCGCGTCTACTCTCTGGACGTTAAGAACGATCTGCTCGTCATCGGCACGGCGGACCGATACATCAACATTGTCAACCTCAAGAACCCGACTACATTCTACAAGACGATCCAGAGCCCGCTCAAGTGGCAGACACGTGTTGTGAGCTGTTTCACGGACGCTGCGGGCTTCGCCATTGGTAGCATTGAGGGACGCTGCGCGATCCAGTATGTCGAAGAAAAGGACAGCGCGTACGTATCATCCCATCAAGCCGTAACACATGTTTCCCAGCTGACAGCCTCCAAGCCTGAACTTCTCGTTCAAGTGCCACCGTGACCCCACGCAGAACAACGTTACCAACGTCCACGCCGTCAACGCCATCTCGTTCCACCCGGTGCACGGCACGTTCAGCACGGCAGGATCGGACGGCACTTTCCACTTCTGGGACAAGGACGCCAAGCACCGTCTCAAGGGCTACCCCAACGTTGGCGGCAGCATCACGGCCACCACCTTTAATAAGAACGGCACCATCTTCGCCTACGCCGTCGGCTACGACTGGTCCAAGGGCTTCCAGGCCAACACGCAACAGCTTCCGCTCAAGGTTATGCTTCACCCCGTTAACGGCGAGGAATGCAAGCCTCGGCCGACCACCAAGAGGAGGTAAGGGCGGTTGCAGAAGGATGGGAGAGGGGCGTATTGGGGGGATGGATGGCATCGTGGCTTCTCCGTCGAACGAAAGACACCCGGAAGCATCTGGCCAGGAGGAGGGGCGAAGTTGGGCAGCTTTACGAGTGTGATACCAAGCAAACAGGGAGATAAAAGTCCGCCAGGGACGCCAGTCACCGTGTACGAGAAGAAATGAGGAACATGGGGAGTTTTGAGTCTGGAAATTCGTGGAACGGCCGCACACGCTGCGGGTTCTCAGGTTCATTTCATTCGTCATCGCCTGTTGTCTGCCTGCCTGCCTTGACTCTCTATCCTGCCAGTTCAGCCCCGCGAGTCGCTCTTAACGGAACGCTCGGGCTCGATTAAAAGAAATAGTCCAAGTGAAAAGCCATGATGGATAATAATAATGCAACGACTCGTCACGGCGCTCGGTCCGTCCGGTCGGAAATTTCCAAGTACAATATGCAAAGGATCGACGATAAACAGGATGTTTAAGCCGTCTTGGTGGCAGGACCGGTAATGTCCTCGACAAGACCGCGCCAGAGGTCGGTGAGCATGCCAGGCTCGCGCTGGGCGGAGACAGGCTCGTGGACGAAGCGCAGCTCAACGCCGTCGACGCCCATACCCTCGACCTCGGTCAAGGCGGAGGCGGGGAGGACGTCGCCGGGGTTGGCGGCGACGACGCTAATGGTGGCCTCGAAGATGGGAGCATCGGGGGCGTCAAGAGCGTGGTGGCGGGCGTAGCTGTCCGGGAGCAGGGGCATCCGTATGGACGATGCCTCTGCGACGGTCTCGGCGCCCAGGAAGGGCAGGACGGGGAGAGCTGATGCGGCGGACGTAGAGGTGGAGGAGAAGGTCTGCATCAGAGGGCGGGTGTAGGTCTTTGATGGCTTGGGCTGGGGGGTAGGGCGGTGGGTGGTGGTGATGCCGCGGGCGTGGGACTGGGAGGTGTCAGTCAAGGTAAGAGGATGGGGTTGGTTTTGGCTTACGTCTTTTTCCGTGGTGGTGTGCTTCTTAAGCAGCTCGGCGTACTTGGGCATCAGAATGGCGCCGTGGGCGTGGTGGAGGGAGCCATGGGATGTGGCCGCCGTGTTAATGGTACGGGCTAGCTTGGAGGCGGGAGCAGTGACGCGAGACATTGTGGTGTACAAGTGATGAAGATGCCGCTGGAGTAAGATATGTTGTTTGCTTGTGTGGAAAGCTGGGAGAGGGGGAGGGATCAGAACAGTGAGGGGAAGGATGGCGACCGAGGAGCGGCGGGTAGATATATCGACAAGACGGGTGGTGAGAAAGGGTGAGTGAGACCACGGAAGTCCGGAGAGGGCGTAGTGGGCTGCCACGCCAGCAGGGGTGGGGGTAGGGGGTGGGAAGGGAAAGGGGAGCTCGAGGGGATGCCACAAAGCTGGTAGGAGGATCAGGCCCAGCCGGGAATTAGTTTGGCGTGATGGGCGGGCTGGACGGGGAGGGCGGGAGGGGGGATGGGATGGAATCGATGGGATGTTGATGGAGGGAGAGGATTGAGGGGAAGAGGCCAATCAGGGGTGGGCGAGACGTCCAGGTGGTGTGTATCGAGAGTACCTTTTTGCAGGTTTGTCAGAAAGACGGATTCGGGGGCTCTCTCCACGCAGTAGTGTGTCTTGAACTGGCAGAACGTGGGTGTACCTTGGAAGGGGAGGGGTGTGTGACCTTTGACCCCTGATATCAACAAGATTGGCTGGGCGATGAGGGTGTTGATGGCTTTCCTAGGGGGCGTCCGATATTCGCTCCGTGTGCATCGAAACAGTCTCCCCCCTCCATCACGAAGGAAGAAGCTCTTATCATGCATCGCACCTCGCCATGCAGTCGTCCAGCCACGCCATTCCGACACACACCGTCGTATTTACCCGGAGCGAGCAACACGACTTCTTCTCCATCATTTTGACTTTTTCACAACCTCACCATGACCCCGATCTTTTGTCTCTCGTTGTGCTTTGTTCCAATGTCGAATTGTGCCTGGACTGGACTCGTAGTCTCGGACCAAAACGTTGAGGAGCTTGGGCCAGCGATTCTATGCCACTGCGGGTCCGGGAGAGAACCAGCGAGCCGGCACCTGGGGCGGTCAGTCCCGCTTGGGCTTAGCGGATGCGCACGCCGCATCCAACAAACAGGACCCCTGTGACTGGCTGGTTCAGCGGGCAACCACTGACCACACAGCGCTGCTGCACCGCCCTGTCGCCCTGGACTTTCTGTCTGTCAGCGGGCCTGCCAGCCTGCTTGCCTTCCTCCCCACTGTGCCTGCCGCCCAGCTTTCTCCCACCCAGCTTCCCCCCCAGTGCCGCCGGGGTGCCGCAGAGGTGCAGCAGCCTGCAGACGCCCAGGCCGCCTCGCCTTCCTCTCGGTTCGCGGCAACGAGGTCAGGTGCAGCAACCTTCACTCACCGCCAGACGCAGAACGCGCCCGCGCGTCTTGATCACGTCTCCCTGCCTGCCGGAGCAGCAGCAAGAGATGCAATGTATGTTGCAGAAACGAAATCGGAATCGGAGGGAGCGCCGCGTGCACAGTGCCAGTGTGTGGCAGAACGAAACCGACGGGATATTCCAGGCCAGCCCCCCCGGGCGCTTCGGGAGCGAACGACTCGGACGCAGGAATGCTCGCGGGCAAGGCAGAGCAAAGCGTTGAGTTGGGCCTCGCCTCACTTACCTCACCCCTGGCGACGGGCAGAGCAGCATAATGTCTGACGTGGAAACGCGACGATCCAAACACTGAACCCGGCCAGAGAGCGGGTCTGCCACTTTCCACCATCCCAGCTCACCTGGAGCTACTGGCACTGGTCTCGGTGGCCGGTCTGACTGTTCGCTATTTTTACCTGCCTCACCAGTGGCTTCAGGTCCGGGGCAACCGGTCTTTGTGTCGTCGTCAGCCCTCGAGACGGGGCGGCCTCCGTCCAGGCTTGGACGGAGCCTCTCCGTGGCCCGGCCCTCCGTGTCGAGGTCTCGAAGGGTTGGTACGTTCCTGCATGTCTCGCCAGACACTCACCGCCGCGGCCTAGATCAGCCCATCTCCTTTGAAGATCAGGGACCTTTCTCGCCTCGTGTCGATCGCCCGATGATCCAAGACTCACTCCCTCCCGTGTTTGCAGCGCAGCCCTTCCCGGGAATAGGGGCAGATAGTGGTGGGCGCGCGGCGTGGGACAAGCGGGCGCCACTCCCGCCAACCACCCTCAACACGGCCGCCATGGGCAGACGTTGTGTCGCCATTGACGACTGAGAGGATGGATGATGATGACTTGTGAGTCATGCATCGACGGTATGAAGGACGTCTTGGATGTCGACGAGCTTGGTGAAGCTAGACTCGAGGTCCAATGTCGATGATATGTCGTCAGGCCGTGATGTGAAGACATCAGTTGAGAGCTTCGTCGTCGAGCATGCAGTCAAGTGGCTTACCGCGCGACGTCCCAGGCCAGCAGCCAGCCAGTCCACTAAAGTCTCCGGCATGGATGGCTAGCCCCTGGCAGTCTTGAGACCCCAAAAGAATTGAATTGGTCAGGGACTGCAAACTATGTCGATTCTCTGCAGCTTGTTCGTCTCGAAGAAGGTCGAAGCATTGTCTGCGCGCTCACTGGGTCTGCCACTCCCTGCCGAGAGAACGGTATTATACTTGGCTCCACGGTGTTCCAACATGAAATCGGCACTTTGGCCGAGTGGTTAAGGCGTTGGCCTGCTATCTAACCCATAGCGGAGACAGCCAATGGGTTCGCCCGCGAGTGTTCGAATCACTCAGGTGTCGTCTTTCTTTTTTGATTGTCTTCCTAATTTAGAGGCGCCGACTTCATCGATGGAGGATGTGAAGATCAAGGTGTCCTGGAGATTGATTTTTTTAGGCACTCGTCCATCCACAGCGAATGGGCATACATACGTGACGAAGCTCTGGAAGATGGAAGCGAGAATGGCTGCGGACATCCCAGGATTCGCGTCCTTGTTGGGATCATGGCCAAGTGGTGGGTCCAATTGGAGAACACCGTTGTGCCATATCTTACCGGCAAGACATACCTACCTTGATGGAGATGGACGTCTTCAAAGCTGATACCATGCTAGAACAACAGACGCTTGGCACAGACATCTGAGAGACGTTGCCCCCCAACAGAGGTGGCACAGACAGCCAGTGCTACGAGAACGTCACTCGCCAGATCTCTAAGCTGGTGTTTTCTTGTGCGCCAGTCTCTCCATGGCCGTGGCGTTCATCATGTCACGTCGCTCGCCTACATGCGTGGCGCTGTGGCATGTCGAGATCCCAGCCATAAGTCACGTCATCCCTCGTGCGACCCGCGTTCACTCAACGCCTTGCGACTCCTGCAAGCGTGGGTATCATGACCTTCATTTATCCCAGATCACCTCTATGCCAATTCATATGATGGTGAAGATACCTTCCCGACGCTTGAGCCTTACCTCTCCCGGGCTCATGACCGAATCACCTGGGTGCCTTCGGCGGGTTCCAGCACGCGCCACTCGCAATCGATGGGCTTGGAGTTGGCCGCCTTGAGGATGGAGATGATGCGCTCTGCAATCTCGTCAAAGTGATCTGTGGCTAGCGCCAGGATGGTAGGGCCCGCGCCGGACAGGCAGACGCCCAGGAAGCCCGGCTGGGTGCTGGGCGACATGGACTCAACAACCTCTGACAGACCGGGGATGAGCGTCTGGCGGTAGGGCTGGTGGACGCGGTCCTGCATGGCCAGGTGGATGAGCTCCGGGTCGGGCGGCGAGGTGCCGAGGGCGACGGGCAGCAGGGCGATGCGCTGCATGTTGAAGGTCTGAGAGAAGTCAGCAGCAGAACTTGGCAACCAGGATACGTGAGACTCACCACATCGGGGCGGGTGTAGTGCGGTGGGAGGACCTCGCGGGCCAGGTGTGTAGGCACCTCGAAGCTTGGGATAATGGCAACAGCCTTGATCTCCTTGGCCCAGGGGAACTTGATGTGGTGGCCGATGCCATGGGGAGGGGCCGGGGGGGTCTCGCCCGTGTCAACACCACCGGCAGGGGCGGGCAGGACCTCGGACAGAGGAATCTCAACACGCTGGACGTCCTCGGGCTTGAGAGGTCGCAGGTAGGTGCCGACGAAGCCTCCGTAGAGGGAGGCACCGACATTGTCAGGGTGGCGCTCGATCATGAGGATGAAGTCAAAGAGACGGTCGAGGTCAAGATCAAGGTGTCCGACCTGGCTTCCGAGCATGGCACCGGCGACGACGGCCGAGCCCGAGCTGCCCAGGCCGCGACCCAGGGGGATGGGGTTCTTGACGTGCACGTGCGTCTCGACGGGGAACATGCGCTGGCCGTGGCAGCGCAGCACGTACAAGGCGACCCGGGTGATGAGGTTGACCGACGGGTCGAGGCTGATGTCGCCCTCACCCTCGCCTTCATAGGTTATCCGGCAGTTGAGCGGCTCCGAAGACGTGGGCTTGGAGCGGTCGATGGTTACGTGCAGCTCGAGGTAGACGGACAGGGCGAGGCCGATGACATCGAAGCCGGGGCCAATGTTGGCCGACGACGAGGGCGTCTTGATGACAAAGGTTTCCATAGTTGCGGGTGCTCCTGGCGTGTTGAACGGAGTGGGTGTGGATATGAGTTGAGCTGAGCTGAGCGTGAGGCTGGTTGATGCTGTGCTCAGTGAGGCATGGATGTCGGTGTGGTGTGTGTGTGTGTGTGTGACTCCATTCGGATGTGTGCCTGCAAAATCGTGTGGTGCGTGCGCCCGATGATCGGACCCAGTGCCGGGGTCAATGGTGGGGGTGAAAGTAGGATATGATTGGCGGAAGCTCTAAATGAAGCTCTCCACTTAAAAGGTCAAACACGGTGCAGAATCAAACGGGGCGACAGGGGACTCGGGAAGGAGCAAACGGCTTCGTCACTGTCGGGACCGGACCAATCTTCTTATGAATCCTGCGTCCCGGCTCGGTATCTCGAGCCTGGAAGTCTTTTCTCACGGTGCTTGAGCCTCTGAATGGCTTGACAAGGCCTCGTTGCCTTTATCTTTGGAGCATTACTCACTCGCTCCGTCGAAGCCATCGACGTCTGGCCACCCCAGTGCCTGACTCGACCCTGGAACAAACGACGCCTCGGGCTATCGCGAGATTCCTCACAGGACACGTACATGTACCTCTGTGATATTGCATCTCCCTTCCTCCCACGATGGAGAATTCTGTCGGCAGCAAAGAGGTAAGTCCAATTGACCTAAATCGGCCCAACTCGTTTTGATCTGAGCCTGACAACGCCCAGCAACGTCCCCACGCTCATCAGGGGCCTGACAACCCCCGAGGGCAGACTCCAAACGGCAAGAAGCCCTCAAAGGGAGCCAAAGTGAGAATTGGCCACCCAACACGACATTTATGGCTCCAATTAAAGGTCTAATTGCAAAATCCAGAAACGAGCAGCATCCCGCAGAGGGCGTGTCATCTCACCCAGCCAGGCTGGTGACCCTAGAGGAGCATCCCAGAACTCCGGCGGTGTCAAACTCGATCCAGCTCCCACAGTAAGCTATTGAAGTTTTCTCTGTATCAGCTCCATCCTGAACAGTGTGTTGCAGCAAAACGGCAAAGCATCAACCACATCCCAGCAAGCTGATGCTTCGGTGGCATCACCCCGGGCCAGTGAGGGGGCTGACACCTCGCGCCAGTCTCAGGTACATCTTTTCTACACCGACCCTGCTTTAATGTAGCAAGCATTTTGTCTGCTGTCACGATGCTGACGACGTCTCCTAGCGACATGATCTCGCTCGGGGCGTGCAGGAGACTGCAGAAGACACAGCTGCGGCCAAAGCTGCAACCTTACCTCTCAATGACGCAGTCGATGAGCCCCTCTCCAACGATGGTGTTGTCGATTCAGTCGTCTCGAAAGTTCCTCACACCACCGAGGAGACAGCTGTCGCAACAGACACACAGCACCCCTCAAGCGAACCGCGAGGTCCAGGACATAGCTCGGGGCCGGTTGTCACTCCTGCCCTAGTGGACAAACTCGCCGCAGGGAACTTGGTGTCTGACTTGCGGACTAACCTGCCCTTTTCCATGGAACTGTCAAAGTTTCTGGACATCGGCAGGGACTTGAACACCCTCTTAAGACCCGACGCGATCGCGGCTCTTTACCTCGAAGCCCGAGAGCTAGGGAGACTTTCCAGACAATTCTCCAATATTGCAGAGACAGCCCTCATCATGCGGTTCGTGAGGATGGCAGGTCCCCCGGAACCACAACTTCGGGGCGTTGTTGGCCGTCTGCGGAAAGAAATTGCAGCGATCTCCCGGGCAGTGGAAACAGAAGAGAACTACCCAGATTATCTGTGGATGACGGCCTGGGAATGTCGCCGCCAGGCCTCCGAATCCTCCGGCACGTTGCATCTGGAGAAGTTACTGAAAGCAGAGGAGGTACCCCCCATGTCAGCTTCGGAATGGTGCAAGGAGTACCATATCCATCCAGTCGAGGTCGAAGAAGACATCCAAGACGACTCGCCCCCCAAGACCCCAAAGCAGCTCCAAGAGTCCTGGGTCGACTTTTGGACCCGGATTATCCTCAAGTGTCCAGGAGGACCGACACTGTTCCAGCCTACCCAGTTTGGACCCTCGCCTTCGTCGGACGTGTCATGCATGTTCCCCTTCAGCACCGACCTCCCTCGATACCTCTACCGCGTCGTGGATCCGACCACTCTTGACGGTGAAATTCCCGAGGTGGCCGCTTCGGTCATGTGGCTTTCAGAAAGAGGCCATCCCGACCAGGTCGACGCATCCATCGATCTGCTCAGCCAGGACACCTTTGTTGCCGCCGACAAGCTGCGGCGCCACCTGACCAACTCGAGTCTTGACGGCGAGGACAATGACAACCTCTTGTCTTGGAGCAGCTCTCTGCCATACGCGCTGCAGACCGCCGTGTACAGGGGGGTGCAACGCTCCTGCGCCGATACAGACGTGTACGTCTGCGTGGTGGACACGACCAAGTTTCCGACTGGACAGTTTGTGCGCGACAGGTGGCTCCTCAAAGCCTACCGCGACACAGCCGTGGCCCGGGCAGAACGCAGATGGTTCGATTCTCGGCTTGACGATCAGACTTCTTACCATGGCGAGTTTCTCTCGCAGGGCAAGGTCGGCCTCAAAGGAAGATCCTCCATCTGCACCCTCCAGGCCCTCATGGATGCCGGACTCAAGGACATGTACCCCGATCTCTTCAGTTTCCCCACATCATCGACAACCCGACAGGACTGCGACGACAGGTTCACGGAGCTGCGCCGGGACTGGGCCACGCGGTGCAAGTCAACGACGGAGGACATTGAGCACGCCCTCAACATTGCCCAAAATTTCGGACCGCCGGTCGACCAGATGGACGTGGCTATCCAGCTCATGGCGTTCAAGAACCGCATGATCTACAAGAAGAGCAGGCCCAACGACATCGTTGAGAGGGTCAGAGTGGATGACCCGGTCGAGACTCGTCGGTTCCAGGACTGGGCGCCGATGATCACGTCGGCTGCGCGACAGCAGGGGAATCGCGCGGCGCTTGGGAAGCTGTTCTGGCTGACTCCGAAGTCTTTGAAGGATCGATACCGTCAGACCAAGGCGCAGGAGTGAGCTGGTCCTCACAGCGTCGCTCCTCGTTTAATGTTTTGGACATGATGGTCAGAATCTGACCCAACGCATTTTTTTTAATCATCTGTTTGTAAAATTCTTGTGTGTACATTTGTTTCGCCAGTTGGACTCTCGATTTGTTGAAGGATACCTCAAATCAAGCTCGGCTTTTTCGAAGTTTCCGGTGTTT